CCCCACTAAGCTGCAGAATGCTTTCTAGTTCTAATCGCCTTACTTTCCATCTTCCTTCTGCACAGACACTTGCAACAGTGTACAACCTAGACAAAAACACATATCCTCCATCTTCCATATCCATGGCTCACTTCAGTTAGATTTTTAACTCTGAATTTTCCACCAGGGGCTTCTACTTAATAAATTTGCTGAAGTATATTAGGTATCAATGCAAAACTGTGCAATAAAGGATGGCATATGTTTTTCCATTTCTGTAAACTTTTCTGTGGGTCTCGCAGAACTGACAGAATCTTTAAGGAACTATTTAGAAGCAGCAGTCAGGGGTTTTTCCAAGAGGGATATTTTCACTGTTAATCGCAGTCTGTTATTTGTCCCAGATGGAGTGAAACCTCTCAGGCATCAGAAAACATCAAGGCTGGCCTAGACACGTAAGACCCTTACCAACTGTGGATGTATCTAGCATTCCCAGCAGAGATCAGGGCCTCATTATGCTACTGGACAAACATAGAAGAGACAATTCCCACCTGCAGAGGACTTACTAACTAGTGACACAAAAGCAGCTAATGAGGCCAGAGGCGTGAATATGGTAAACTTTCCTAACTGCTTTTCCCTCACATCATTTCCCTTCCAATGTTTTTAAGCTCAGCATCTCACCCTCTTTCCCACTTTGAATGACAAGTAGTATATGCATGTATCTTTTGGCACAGCAGATGGTACCTGCGGCTCTCCACGTGGAGCAGGCTGTTATGTGACTCTAGCTGCTGCTGCCAATTCCTCCTCCAAGGTACTTTGCCATGGAGTGGCTGCTGCTATTCATGCCACGGTTCCCTGCTGACTGGCCCTGGCAGAGCTAGGCACAGTACTGGGGTAGCCAGAAAGACACATGGCTGGTGGTAAAGCCCACACAGCAAATCTGGCAAGCAGAGGCATTTGGAAAGGCCAGAAGATGCTTAGCACCATCATCTGCAGAAACTGTGAAGTTCTCCTGGTGCATATGAAAGAAAACTCCTGGATGAGCCACAGGCTCCATTTTTTTCTCCCCTGTCTCTAGTGCAACCAGGCAGTCCTGTGCCACTGATACACTCACTGTTGTGAACTCAGGACTGCAGAGCCCAGGCTGCCCTTTGCTGAAGGCTGGCCCTGGCTCACCATATTTGGGAAACGGCTATTTCTCCACAGCTACAGGAGGCTAGTGACTCCACAAGGCACAAACCGCCTCGTGGAGACAGAGCTCTGTCTTGCCAGCACTTCCACAGACTTCTTCCTTTGTCCTTGTCTTGAAAATATCTCTAGAGTTACATTTTCAGTCCTCTTAGCGAAGCACAAAAATTTTGACTGTTCCTTCCACTTTCAAGGAAATCTTCTTCCTCATCCCAAGAACCTCGGAATGCTGTCCTGGACACTATTGTAAGTAAACATGGAGAAAATCTCTAACTCTGGACAGTCGAGACATGCCAAACAGAACTGAACATCAGAGATGGAAAGGACCTCTGAAGCTTCACAGTACAAATGCACACAGAACAGTAGTGAAGCTGTCGTGCTGAAACAGGACAGAATCCATAGCTCCATCTTGAGCATTCAATGTGCTTCAGGTTCATTCTACCAATGCAAAAGGCGTCACTGACTCATGGGAGTTTTCCAAGTGGGTCTCTGAACCCACTGCTCCTGGCAATCCTGAACTAGTCCACCCTCTTCGCATCCACACCCTTCGCAGGCCTCGACTGCTTCCCCAGAGCCTCTCACAGGAATCACCAGTATCAGCAGCAAAGTTTTACTTCCTTTGAATTCTCCTTGCAAATTAATCTCAATCAAGCTTTAAGAGGCCACGAAAACATACCAACTTCAAATACTGCTTTAAGCATGAGGAAAAGCAGTCTCCTGGCATTGGGAACCTGTTAATAACTATGGATGCAATTAGTCCAACTTCAAGGCTCTCATGAGACACGCACTATCACCACCTCTCCCTCTCTCTGTCAAAGAAGTTTGGCCATATCTGTGACACACTCATGAGATCAACCTTTCTACACTACTTGGAGCCAAACCCTGCACCTCAAACTTGGAAACTGACAAGCAGGCATCTATGAAGAGCAGCTCTGGGCTCAGGCACCCCAGCAGACTGAGGAGGAGCCATGTGGCAAGGGTTTTCAGGTGGGACCGAGGTCAGGAGTTGGATATAACCCAGTCCACAGTGGGCTGTTTCCTGCCCCACAGCACTGTGGGCGCAGAAGAGATACAGGCAAGGCCAGGTCTCCAACAAAACTGTGAGCTGCCCAGAGCCAGTTGGTGGCTGAGAGCTACCACAACACTTAATCCCACTCACTAGGAAATGGTAAAGGAACTGTTTTGCTACAGCCACTCAGCTACTATGTGTTGTTTATACCTCAAAGCTCCAGGAAAAACAATCAGTAAGATTCCTCACCTCTAATAAAATTAGAGCACTTCTGACAAGTATCAGTGCTAAAAGGAAAGCACCGATACAACTACCATCGCTGTTTTTTCAGATCTGAGCTCAGTACAGATCATGAGAACCCTCCTTAAGCCTGCTGCTGCTGCCTTTATGAGAATTCCCCCATAAGCTCTTCTTTCTGCTGGGCTGAACACACTTTCCCTGGCTTCTCCTGCATGACAGGCTCCCCACTCCTCTGAGAACACTGGCAGCCTTTCTTTGTGCTTGCTTTATTCAAAATCATGCCTGAAGTCAGAGCTGTACATAGGATGCCAGGTCTGGCTCCTGTTCATCATGTGCAATAGCCTAGATGCTTTCCTCTCTCCACAGAAAATACATGACTCAATGCACCCTTTGCTTTTTTCCTACGGCCATGTCATCCTGCAGGCAATTAATACAGCCTGCTCTTGCTCCTCCCCTTCCTGTTTCTGCTACCCCAGCCCTCAGGGGTACCCATCTCCTTGCTCCAACACTCTGCTTCACCGTGTTGACAAGGGGTCCCAGCATGACGCCATCAGGGCAGGCTGCTAACATATGTGGGAGTATCGCACCTCCCCAACCCAGCATTTCTCTTTCCCAAAACAATCCAGCCTCACTCCCTCTTTCACTTACCATATCCTATTACCTTCAGCTTCTGTGGTGACCCAAGCAGTGTCCAAGCAAATGCTGAACTGAAACGCTGACAGAAACACAGTTCTAGCACTGTCCTTGCCTAGAAGTGTATTATCAAAGAAGTATGGCATGCATTTCCTATTTAACTCCATACTTAAAAAATATGTTTAGCCTGTGGCCTAACAGGACACCAGACTAGTCTGTGACTGCCTGGGTCATGTTTCCTGCACTGAAGTCCACACACTGTATTTGTTTTTCTCCAGTATTTGAGTACTCCAAAATTCAGTACATTTCTGAGAACTTGCCTGCTCAGGGTCCTGTCACCACTTCTCTGAGCTTTGAGAAATTGACTGTCTGCTCAATTTCCCCCAAACACACTTGAGTGCATTCAGATCTTTCAGGGTGCGTTTCCACCTTCTGGAGTGCCATTGCTATCGACTGTCTCTTGCTGATCTTTGTTAACTCCCACTCCTTTCCCACATCATCACCAATATTTTTGAGTCTGTCATGCAACTGTACAAGAAGCTTACCCATCACAACCCCAGAATAAAGTGATGCTGAGATATCTGCCTGTGCCTAAAGACAGCCTATAGTATCAGGTCAGAGGCATGCAACCAGCACCTCATTCAACCATATAAGATAAAAACTGGAAAAACAAGAGGTTAACTGATTTAACTTATTGTCTGTGATCACCTTAGAAAGCAAAACACCCACCTAAGAGACTTACACCATAAATTAAAATATTCTCCCAGGACTAAGAGGGTGAACTCAGCTACCAGCACCACTGACCGCTTCCAAGTCTGGAAGGTCACTAGAGATTTTCAGCACAAAATTCTACATGCCAAAGAAAAATGAAAGTTGAATAACTTCTTTAAATAATACTTTAAAACCTCCACAACAAACCACACACAGGAGCTATTAGAAACAAGTACAGTTCTTTCCAGACTTAATTTAGCATATTCCCCCTCCTAAATTGTATTTCAAGCTGCTTTTAAAATCAGTATCAAGTTGTTACAGGATCTTTGCCTTGCTGTTTCAAATGACTAACAAGCATGATGCTTTCCATAAACGTTTGCCTGTAGAAAGATGGTAAAAGACACAAGCATGCTAATTTCTTGATGGTCACTGGACAGCAGCAACTCTTGGTCACTGATATTGAAGTCCAATAAGCAGGACAAAAGACATACCTGAACTACCATGTCAGCTGCAAACTAAGTCTCATTTTCTTTCTACTTAGAATGAAACTCAAGTCTCCTTTGACATAGGGTGCCCAGCAAGGCAGAAGGAACATACAGACCCAAAGACAAAGCAAAGGACACTTACACAACCGGTTGGGGTTAATATGCTGTTTCAGGAGATTGATTGAGCCAAAGCTGACAACAAGACGCCTTCCAAACCAGAAAGAGACCAGTGGGCCATACTTCTCATGAAGGTTCACCAGGAACTCATGCAGACTGCTGCTGGCAATGATATCTGGCAGGTTGCCATCCCTGAGGAACACAACGAGGATATTTGGTCATGAACAGCATCCACTGGCAAGGCTGAACTTGACTGGTGTGAAGATGGAAACCACTTACTTTTCATCAGTTGGAGCCAGCCCAGGGATACCTGATGCTTGCCTAGATGCCTGGAGAGTAAAAAGAAACGCATCAACCTCCGTGAGCTTAGGTTTTATACAAGTCGCACTGCTTTCCAACAGGAGAGTTGGATTTTCCACATCAACACCGCCGCACTACTTACAAACGTTAAACAAAGGCTGGATAAACCACATCTTCAGGCCTCAAACCTGCTAAGGCTTACGAAGCCAATCAACTGCGTGTGCCCGGTCCCACTGGCCAACCCAGGACTGTTCACCGTGTTACAGGAAAGATCTCCGCGTAGACTCAAAGGGTCAGGTTTGCAATATCGACCTTACACGCAGATTTTTGCCCCCGAGAGCTGCATGCGTGCAAAACTGCAAGGTGAGCTGATGAAGCCCTCCTTCCTCAGAGGGGTCCCAGCGGGGCACCTAAAACCTGCGGGGGTCGTGCCGCAGCGGGGCCGCCCCGCAGGCGACAGCCCCCTCCCCCCCAGGCTCCGGGCCCCGGGGGCTCCCGCCTGGGGACACCCCGCCCAAGCCCAGGGGACAAGGGAAGGGGCCGAGGCCGCTCGGGGCGCGGTGGCGGCT